TAAAATATAGTGTCAAATATCCTAAAATATGGTTATTTTCAGAATGGGGATGAGACGTAGATGCCGAAAATTGATGTCACGCCGTCTTTAAATCCAAGATGGCGGCTTTGGTTCAGAAAAACTGTGAAATACTGTCAAATACCGAACAATGTGGGTTTTCTGGAATTGGGCTTACATCTAGAAGAAAGAAATCGATGTCCGACGCCATCTTGAAATTCAAGATGGTGGCTTCCAATTTCAGAAGAAGTATCAAATAGCCTGCAAATGGCATCGAATATCGATTTTCAGCATCTACGCATCGTCCTCGTTCCGAAATACTCAGATCTAAGGGTATTTGACACTTTTTGTGAAACCCGATGGCCGCCTTATTGGATTCCAAAATGGCATCGGATATCGATTTTCGGCATCTAAGCGTTGTCCCTGTTCCGAAAATAACCATATATTAGGGTATTTGACACTTCATAAAACCAATGGCCACTATCTTGAATTCCAAAATGGCGTCGGACATCTATTTACGGCACCTTTGCGTCGTCCCCGTTCCGAAAATTCCCATATTGTAGGGTATTTCCCTGACCCCGATGGCTGCCATCTTGGACTCCAGATTGGCCTCGTTAATTTAATTTTCGATTAATATAAAATAATATATAATTACTACACATAATCCGGATGCCATCCCTATCGGCAACCGACATCCGGATACTATATTTTGATGCCTGCGTCGTCAGGTCGTGAAAAGTCGAATGAGCCCCAAATTGAAGTGAAAGTGGAAGAAACGAAGGAAGCAGTTTTCGAGTCATTAATTGTGTCAATTGAAACCAGTCTTTGCTTCAAATGAAATGAACTGAAGCACTTGACGAACGAAACAAGTGATAGTCCAGTCATGTTTGAAAAGAGGAATGTTCATCGTGACTCGATAACAAGAAACACGATGACTTACACGAAAATGATATTGCTCGAAATGAAGCGATTCTGCGGAGAGTTCATTTTCTTTTCTTTGTTTCGAAACTGCAGAACCCTGGTTCTGAGTCGATCTGCAGAGTCGGTACGTATCGGTATCGCCATTGTTAAAGTGGCGTCAAAACGAAAAACTGTACCCAAGTCCTGCTAGCCGGTTCATTTTGAATTTCCCGCCCCCACCGCAAAACTGAAGTGGTCAACATACGATACCGAACATCATGCAAATTGTGCCTATGCTGTGGGCTCTTTATACTAAAACAGAATTTAGTTAATTCTACGAAAAAGGCACAATACATGTGACCGAAACGTCAGATGAAAACTTAAAACCCCGTTTTTGAGCATCAAAAGACTGAAAGCCACATAACCTCCAACATAGGTCAGTGAATTCATCAAAAAAGTTCCATACGAACGGATTAAAATGATTCGAATTTTTTACGACGATTTTTATTAGGGGACTGAGTTTCACGTTTAGCGCTTCCTTGTGGTTCAGCCGGTTGGTTGGTGGCGCTCTTGGTGTGCTGCATTGCATGTCCATGCCTGGAGTTGAAAAGCAATGTTAGAAAATGTTTTTCCTTCAAAATCATTGAAACGTCTGGTCGATGCAAGAATGCATAAACTGCCCAATTCCGTGGAAGTTTCTGCACTTCTGCGTTGGCTTCCAGATGTTTCACTTATTTCCACAAAGGTTTTCTATCATCACACAGCGAATTTCGAGGTCAAGTGCGCGAAGTGAAACGGAGCAGGATGATGCAAGCAAGTTGACTTACTGCTGAGATCAGGAAATTTGAATTTCGTTTGATGACTATTCAGTAAAACATAATGAATACTGAAAACTCGGTACTCTATTTTACTGAGTTTTAGTCATTCACCGTAAATCTGTTATATTAGGGAAAATTCAGTGCAGCTACTGAACATCAGTAGTTTCATTGGGAATAGCTGAATGTTCGGTATTTTTTTGTGATTTACAGTTCGAAAACTGTAAAAAAAAAATTACCGAACAGGGAAGCCGTGATTAAGTGTATATATCAAATGATAGCGAGTGACTCCATTGACAGTAACGATGAGGTTCGAATGAGAAAGGGCCTCTTCAAATGATGGGCATGTGCGAATTCGTTTCCACAGAATTGATTGAATGGTTGTATTGGTTCATCTTCAATCGAATGATATGAAATTTAACAGCACTGCCTGGAATCCTCAACGGGAATTTACAGTTTCTCCATAGAGAACTGGTGGAACCCACACTCTACGTCTGGAATCTCCACCGTGAACTACTGGAATACATGTCGTAAATTTCAGGAATCACTTAGGGAACGTCTGAAATCTCCGTCGGAAAGTTGCTGGAATCCTCGTCGTGAATGTCTGAAACAAAGTCTGCCATTTTGGAAGTCATAACAAGCAACATTCATTTAGAACGGTTCAAAAAAATCTGGAGTAAACGTGTGGAAGTCGGACACATATGGAATCTCCGTCGGGAGCTGCTGTAATCCACGATGGGAGTGTCTGGAATTTCTATCGTGAGCGTCTCAATCCAAGCCTGCAATTTCAGACGTTGAAACACGCATACACTTTAGGAACGTCTGGATTAGTGGCGTCGGTGGAGTAGTGGTAAGTGTGATTGCCTCTCACCCAAAAGGCCTGGGTTCAATCCCAGTCGGCACAGCTGAAGCATAGCATCTCTGATCACGCCTTCCTTTGGAAGGGAAGTAAAACCGTTGGTCCCCGGTCCATGAGTTGATGGGTTGACAGGTAGGGTCCATGTGTGGGAGCTACCTTCCTGGCGTCGGTAGCTTTGGTATTCAGTACAAAAAACTAGATCGACGGAAAACGAATCAAGAAAAAAAAGTTGGAAACATATCTCCATCTGTAATATCTGCAATCCTCATTGGTAATGTTCAGTATCTGCTTCGGGAACTGCTGGAATCCTCACTGGTAACGTCTATCATCTTCGTGGGGAACTGCTGTAATCCACGTTGGGAATGTCCAGATACATTTCAGAAACGTCTGGAGAACCTGTTAGAACGTCTTAGACTAGATATCCTAGTCAGTAAAAGCATGTTATTACCAAGCCAAAGTGGTGGGTTCGATTCCCGGTTCGAAATTTATTCGACTTCGCTGGGCAAAAGTATCATCGTGCATTGGTTGAAATAGAAAGCTCTCAATTAAAAACTGTGGAATTGCATCTAGAACATTGAGTTGAGAGCCGGGAAAACGATAAAAAATAAATTTAATAAACCTGGAAGAAGAAGAAGATGAAGAAGGAGAAAAAGTAGAAAATTAATACGAACGATAACGTTTAAAATCTTAAATTTTAGATTTCAACATACGTAACACTCATGAGGAACGTTTCAGTAACGTCGGGTGCACCTTTTAAAACGACATAGTTTGATAGGAAACTGGGAACTGCTTGAATGATCGTAAAAATTGTCTGAAATTACTTGAGAAATGTCTGGAATCTCCTTTGGAAACTGCTGGAATAATCTTTGGGAATGTCGGGAACGATTGATTTCTTGATTTCAAGACTGTCAAAATACGCATCACGCATGACTAACGCTTCAAGAACATCAAGTCAGAATCATATAAAATCCCTGCCAGTAACATCTGGAATCGGCATCAGGAATGACAGGTATCTTGTTCGGCATCTGCGGGAATCCCCACCGGGAGCGTTTGACATCTCCGATTGGAACTGTTGGAATCCACATCGGAAATTTTTGCAACATCGCGAACGTCTCTCCGTCGGTAATGACTGGAATCTCCGTTGGGGATATCTGGGATCTCCGTTGTGCAAATTTGCAATTTTAGGCATCAAAGCACACAACCCTTCAAGAAAAACAGGAGAATCCGTCAGCAACGTCTGAAAACCAATACGGAAACATATGGAATCTCGGTCGGTAATATCTGGAACCATCGTCTGAAATGTCCGGTATCTTCATCGGCAATTCCTGGAATGCACAATTGGGATCGTCTTGTCGGATGTTTTCCAATTTTTTTCAAACAAGTACTGAGGATCCTAGAGTTAACTCGTTAATAATATGTTTAACGGAAATTAAAGCATTTGCATTTTTTTTTTAGTTTTGTGCCCTGACCTCAGTATTTTGATTTGGGATATGAATTTAAAAAGAAAATTAGGGATTCTCAAACAATTCAGTTCATGAAATATACAACTTTGCATGAGTATGTAATCAAACAAAATCTTAAGCTATAAGGATGCAACATTGAATTTGTTTAGCTTTACAGGGAATACATTTCATAAGCGATGGTTGAGTATTTTTTCAAACAGTAACACATACTAAATTAAAACTACATATTATATCAACGGAAATAACGTAAGCTACAATATAGAACCAAAATTTCTAATTCGAAAAAGCGCAGAGAGAAAATTAAATCATTATATTTTACTATCAAAGATACCCCGTTTTACGGTACCAGAAAATCACCCGGTTTTACCGGTAATACCGATACCACAAAACCATCGCTTGAATAGGAATCAAGTAGAGATGGGACATTTATGCTGTAATGGACTGTGTAAATATAAGTAAAAAGTTTTCAGCGGAGATAAGTAGTGAGTCGTTAGCGAATTAGCAATCAGGAAGGAATGAGTAACAATAGTTGTAATGAGTCTCACTCACTCATCCACTCACTAGCTCTTGACTCACTTACTCTCTTCTAAACATTAAAAGAAATTTTAACACTCGACTTAAACGTAGCTCTTTAAAGTTCACGTTGCGCCTTTCTTCCCGTTCATGTATATTTTTTATGATATATCCTTTTATATTCTTCCCATTTTGCCTGAAGCTTACTTTTGATTCCTGCTTCTCTTTCACTGACAAACAAAAATATGAAACAGTACGGCTGTTCACAACTTCCATTCATGATGTTGAATTTTTCTTTCCCTGTCCAGATTAAACAATGAACAAACACCAGCCTACCTCACTACGAGGAAACAACTTCCAGAAAGATACTTTTTTCCTCCCCCACAGTTCTATATACAAAAAAAAGGACAAGCACATTTTTTTCATATCGCTTTCATTTCTGGTCTTTTGCAGATAACGAGGTGGAAGTAAACCACTTCCCTCCACTGTTTGTCCGAGCCACGATAAGAAAAGCAACAGCCCCAACGTGTAGCCGGTCGCGGTCACTGGTCCGCTGGCGAAAATAGAGGGGCAGCCATATGCTAAGAAGGACACACCGAGCGTCGTCGAAACAGAAGAAAAAACGGAAGCTGCTCCGAGCCCCGACTGGGTCCACGCCCAGGGATATTGAATATTTAAATTCAGTACCGTGAAATTGAAAGTGAACTTCCAGGCTGAAGAGAAGGAATCTAATAAGTGCTCGTGATTTTTTTTCCCTTGCCTGTCTGTTTCCGTTAGATTTTAATAATTTTTACTTTCGGGCAGTTGTGTGTATGTGGGTGTGTGCGCGTCCCAGTCTGTTGAAAGGCAGCTGAAGAAGGTCGAAACTATGTAAATAAATTTCAAATTTATGTAAATTCGAAGCGAAGATAACGAGGATCTGACAACACCAAATCTGGGTCTCAACTGTGTGTAAAACGAACGGTCGCCGAGATTTCAAGGTGAGTTTGGATGATTGTTGGCTTTCTATTTTGGGGTAATCCAGAGGGATTGTACCTTTATTCTAATTCATAGCATTACAGGGGGAAACATTTAAAAGTTGGGGAAAGATGAAAAAATCAAATCAAAGCAAAAACAGGTGGCACTTACCATCATTCCATAACTGTTTCAACAATGGTCAGTCCCAAACGGTGATGGACTCGCAGAATGAACATCATCGGTGACATCCCTTTGGAGTGCTGCACGCTTTTATGGCGCTTATGATGATCCGGAAATATGGCACACCGGTCGTAACAAATTTGCAGCGTTGTCATTTTGTTCCCCCCTCTGACAAACGCCGCAGTCTCTGGTTATACTCGGCCCGGTTCACGCACACCAGCTTGCAGAGCTACCTACCTACTGTTATTCTACACCCTTGACAGAGTGATAAAAACTGAAATATTGCTAGTCCCGGTCCTGGGGGAACTGGATTGAGCGAAGTTATCTATTGCTATTTTTCTTCTAGCTCGTTTCGATTTTTTATGATCATCAAATGGGAAGGCTTATTGACTGATTGATGACAGTGGGGAAGTTTTATGTCGCGTCGTAGGCTTATTTGGGGGTCGTTTATCTCGGGAAGGTGCAACTGGTGAGGTGGAGCACGCGAGTGATGGTACTAGTGGAGTTTGGTGAAATGGATGGACTCACCTTTTCGATGTTTGAATTGGTGCATATTACCAACATTCAATTGTTAACTAATTGCAGTACACTGAAGTCTTTTTTTACACGGTTTTTTTTACGCGGTTTTTTTTACACGTTTTTTTTTACACGGTTTTCCACGATTTACACGGTACGTTTTTAACGATTTCTCGACAACGATACAATCTATCGACTTGATTCCAATCACATTATCCGTTTCAAGCTATTTGTAACCGAATGGCATACTTAAAAAAAATCGCAATTTTTGGTGTAAATACAGAAATTTTTAAAATATGTCTATATGGACCATATCATGCTTTAATTACAAATGGCAAGCATGCGAAAAATCAAAATCTCGTAGGTTATTTTTAACACGGTTTTTTTTTTACACGGACCGTATCCCCCGTGTAAAAAAAGACCTGAGTGTACTATATTTATGAATTCAAACCCTGCTAAGAACAAACCCAAAGAGTTATAATTTTTTTTTTAAATTAAATTGTTTGAATGACTTGCTAAAAAACTGCTCAATGCATCCAAAATTACTCAGAAAGTAATGATACAAAGCTTGCCTGTTTTATTATTAAAGGCACATAAAAAAGTCACATCTGACGTTTCAGTTAGATATGACTTTTGAATGTCATGTCAAATTTATTGGTCTTTATTCAATATCTCTGATACGATTGACGCATCGTAGAGTAGTATTTTCGGCAAAATTTCAAGTTTTATTTGAAAACGTCAGTAAAAAATATATAAAAAAGACTACTTTTGATGAGACAAAACATGATTTAGTGTAATGAGAGAGAGAGAGAAGGATTAGTATTTTCCATTTAATTCCACTACTTTATTTGCTTATCCTTGACAGATACGCGTATTTCGTCTACAATGTGCAGACTTCTTCAGTGTCTTGTACTAATACTCGACTAGTCAGTCAGTCGAGTATTAGTACAAGACACTGAAGAAGTCTGCACATTGTAGACGAAATACGCGTATCTGTCAAGGATAAGCAAATAAAGTAGTGGACATCAATGGAAAATACTAATCCTTCTCTCTCTCTCATTATACAGGTATTCCACTAAAACGCCCACATTCATCATGATTTAGTGTATAAAACGGATTTCGAGACATTAAATCTAAAAAAAAATAATATAGCATTAGTGCTCAGCACGGAAAACAAGATCGACGGAAAGCAAATCAAGGAAAAAAATGTTTTTGACTAAAAAACAACTTTGTGGAAGACACTAAACCTCCAGAATGAGTAACTGAAAAGATACATTTTTAATAGCTGTTTAGTACTGGTTTAGTACAATAATTATTTTGACAAAATATGGCACTTTTATATTAAAAACATTGCCGGTAACACAAAGTCACTTTATGCAAATATTTTTTTGTTTATTAATTTATTTCATAAGGCTCAATCGAATTAACTTTACGCAGCCGAGGGTTCTTGATCACTAAACAAAACATCTTAAGACTATAGTCAAAAGGTACAACACAATAAACACTTTATCTTCCGCTATCCAAAAAACCTCATCCATCAAAACGGGAGCCGCATCCAGTGGTTTCATTGTATGGCAGTATCGTCAACGGGGAGCAGAGTGCTTCCATTGCAGAAATGGACGCAAAGCGTGGTTATCACTCACACATTCACCACAAATAACTCAATTAACTCAAAATAACTTAAAAAAATTATTATCATCGATGAAGTTTTATGAAAATCCAGGAATTTCCCAAAATTTGGGAACTTCTCAAAATTTCCCGATGATTTCCTGAAATTCATGGAATTTTCCTGGCGTCCCAGAATATTTGGAGCTTACGAAACTTTTCACACTTACCACAAAACGGTTGCTTTCCAAAGTTGACGACGCATCGACCGAAAGCGCTGCTGATGAAGAACAATGAAGTGGACCAAACAATGGTTGCTACCGAGTAAACAGACGGTCGCGTGGCACTCATCGAGAGTAGCCTGCTTCTGTCGACAGCCGAGTGAACACTGAAAATGACAAATTTTGGGGTTATCAATTTTGTTCCACTAGATTGCAGTCCTGGACCACTGTGGATTGCATAAAATGGCATCGCTTTCAATGTGTCGGAGTCACGCAGGAGGATCAGAATTATCGCTGAAGCTGTACCAAATCCGATACCGCAACAGGTGTCCAGACAACGAGTTCAACATCTGGTGCAGTCGGTTTGTTAAGTGGTGGTCATAAGAAGCAGTCGTCGAAGTCAAATGTCAGCAGGGGTCTTCCATCAACACTACCAGGGAGGCAACAAGATAGCCACCGAACCAGGAAGACCAAATCAGTAGATGTACCAGTACTAACATCCTTTCCCAGCGTAGTTGATACCAGTCATACGAACGTTGTTTCCGATCCATTTGCCATCCATTACAACTATGCAGTGGGTAGAAGAAGAATATATCGAAGAACGCATCCAGAACAACATCATTTGCATCGAGTCGCTCTTCACAAGCCCTTGCAAGACTAAAACTTCAGAAGCTGAAGGACTTAAGGGCTATTGAGACGCCAGAAGCGAAACTACAGCGAGCGATTGCAGCAGAAGCAGCAAGAATGGCGAAGGCCTATCGAAGAACAGAAATATCAGCTGCTGGAGGAAGCTTTGAGTGAGAATAATTCAGTTAGCGGTGTATCCTTGAATCGATTGAAGGAATGGGTGGAAGCTATCAGCAATCAACAGAAGAACTAATAGATCTAGAGCAGGATCCGGAGGTGGAAAGTCAGTTTGAACCCGGTGTCCATTCGAGCAAAACCCAACATGAAGATCAAACTACCGAATCCTTATCCTCTACATTCGGTTGCAACGCTATTCCACAAACGGTCCAGATTAAAGAACATCCAAGATCGGAACCGAATTCTATACCTCTACGTCCGGTTCCACTGCTTGAACCGATTCCGAATTATCCACAATCGTACCCGATGGAAGAACATCCAAGGTTGGAACCGAATCCTAAGCATCTATGTTCAGTTCCATTTCCAGAACTCCCAAGGCTAGCTCCGATGCCGAATGTCCAAAAACTGTTCCCGATTCAAGAACATCCAAGGCCGGTTCCACATCCTAGGCCTTTACGTCCGTTTCCACGGTTTTAATCACCGAGACCAGCTCTGGTGCCAAATTATCCGCAACCGTTACCGATTTCAGGAAATGTTCAATGTTAGTAGAATCACAAGGTACGGAGTGAATTTCATAGAGAATTTTTAAATGAATTCAATGGAAAATCTGAGAATTTTTACAAAGTAGAATTTCATGGAAATTCCGGGGAAAATTTAATTAAATTTTAATTCGGAGAATAGTTCCAATGTTTTCAATAATTTACGTAAGGCCCGTTTTTCACATTCTTGATCTTTGCGAGATTTTTGGCTTTAAAAATGGTGTATTTTAAAGATCTTAGATTTAAAACAAAACATGGCTCTTGGACCTGGACAACATTTTTGGAGTCTAACACTTCAAAGCATATCCAGACAACCAGAAGTCGTATAACAATGTTTTATTGTTGTTTTATTGTTGTTTTACATCAACGGGCTGGATGAAGCCCCAATGATGTTAACCTTATCAACTATGGTAAAAAAAATACATTCAAGCATGGTCATAACATAAGAAACATTAACAAACATATATCTTATATTCAGTTACTCCTGCCGGCTGAAAACAGAAAAAAACTTTCGACGAAGCGCATCACGGGAGAGATGAAAGTCGAAAACAGATGTACGCTCCATAATTTGTGCGACGTAGAGGCAGTCTTAGCATAAGGTTATTACGAAGCGGTCGGGGTTGAACATTCCGGTCAATTTGCCTCAGGATAGCCTCGCAATATGTCCTTCCTTGCAGGATATCGGCCACGGTTGGGGCTCTGCTTGTGTCTCTTCTAGTCCGGAGAAGTTCTAGGTAGATAAGTTGACAACGGCTTTCGTAACTGGGTAATCGAAACGGATCATTCCAAGGCAATCTACGCAACGCAAAACGAAGAAAGCGACGTTGAACAGATTCAATTCTCTCGGCACCGTTGTTGTAGTTTGGGTTCCAAACCGCTGAACAATACTCAAGCGTCGATCGAACAAGCGAACAATAGAGAGATTTTAGACAGTAGATATCAGTGAAGTTTTTAGCTATCCTAAAAATGAACCCTAAAGTTCTTGACGCCTTATCAACAACACATGCAATGTGTTGCTCAAGCATCATTCAAGAAAGCTGCGAATCCAAGATCACACTCAAGTCTTTCACCTGATTCACGCGTTCGATTGTCGAGCCAAGCAGGTTATAGCTATATATTATCGGTTGTTGTTTTCGTGAGAACGTAATAGCGGAGCAT